AGTTGTGCCAGAAAAATTTGTTGTATATCTACATAACAGTTTCCCAAATGTTCCTCACAGTAAGAACGACAGTTTCATTAACAAAAGTACTGTTTTAGTACATGGTATTAGCAGAAAGTTGGTGCCTGTGTATCGGTACTGGAAAAAGTACCCTAATTACAACAAAGTGAGCCTACGTCAGATGTCAGGTGTTTATATGGAGCATTTTTATTCTGTTTGGGCTTTTAATCCCATTAAAGTCTGAAAATTAGAGTCCAGGTAAACATACATATGAAGAGGAACAATTACAGGTAGAAATGCTCTTACCCATTATTTAGATGAGATATCTGTGCATTCAAAGAACTACTTATTGTCTTTTTTTCCCCCTTAATTAAGAAAAAACGTTGAGAGGGTTTTCAGATGCAGACAGTTTTTGAGAGTTTTTTCACAGCGAAACATGAAAGTGTCACAAAAAGAGACTTATTTGTTGATGTACAAAGAGACAAATTATAGGGATTTTTTGTGGTAGGTCGCACAACTTTATAAGCAATGTATTTCAATAGATGGTATATTTCATGTTTGCATTGTGTTTGTATTGTATTATTTCTAAACTTGTACAGTAGCTTTTAGTACCTAAACCAAGGGCTGTGCGATATGACCAAATTCTCATATCCTGATATAAGACATCTATCGTCCCGATGACGATATAAATCACAAAAATTTAACATTTTTTTTTGTAAATTCTGTGAATCTCGGGCAGCTCGACTTACGTGGAGTGTTTCCAGCTGGGCGTCATGTACCTGGAGTCGAGTGTTTTAACCGATGCATGAAACTATACATTTTTAGACATAAGTTGTAACGGCCGCCGTTTTCTTTGTGAGTATTTATTACACAGTGTGCTGCGGGGAAAAGCTTGTTCTAACGTTTGAGTCTAAGGTTTATTTTTAGCACCTGGCGGCTCTTTTTTGCTTCTCATCCGAAAATACTCTGCATACTCTTTCACGTGATTCAGTTTATTTTGAAAAGTCTCAACAGGATCTTGAGCTTTATTGTGAAGGGTTTATGTGGAAAATAAACAAGCGGACACGTGATGCAATGGTTTTACTGTCGTTGTTGCTAACGTCAACGCATAAATACAGGCGCTTGTCCGTCCCTAGTGTGGTTATATTAAATAAAAGAGAGAGAACTTTAAGACATTAATATAGCCACTACATTGACCATCAAAACGATAAAAATTTTTTTTTGCTGTAAACAGTTTATTTTGCGACACCACAAAATAAACGATAGCGTAAAATTAAACGATAGACGTTTTTATATCGTCATCCGGTATATATCGTTATATCGAACAGCCCTACCTAAACCTATACCTGAGTATTGTGAAAATCTTCAGCCACCCCTTATTTCTTTATATTTTGCTTCAGATGAGCCAGACTTTGCTATTTTTTAAAGCTTGAACAATAGTTCTCCAGGCTTTCTGGAGGTCTCCCAAAGTTTTTCTTTGGGCATTTAATGGTTTTTTTTCCCCACTGGGGTTCAGTCCAGTCATAGTTTTTCCTTATTTATTTAGTCGAATCTATGAAAAATGCCAACAATAACACAAACTGACAGGTTCAAAAAGTAACAAACTGATTCCCAAAGAGCTATTAGCTGGTTTGTCTCAGCATGGTGTGCAACATGTCCTTAAAAAAAATCTGAGGAAACTGAACAAGTAGAGGACACAAGAAGACTTGGAAGGCCTACAGCAGATGAACAGTATATTAAAGTCATTTTCTTATGCAAAATCACAAAAGGGCTGCCTGGAAAATCAGTTGTAACGGGTCTTACGGAGTGATGAATCCAAATTTGACATTTTTGTTTCAAATTGTTGCCAGTAGGTAAAGAGAGGTACAACTGTGAGTGGTTCTATCATGGTTTGGGACTAGATTTCAGCCACTGATGTGGGAAATCTTGTCGAAACTGTTGGTAAAACAAGTATGAATGCAGAGAAGTCTGATTTTGATGCACCAATGATCCCAAAAACACTACCAGTGCACTAAAAGAAAACAAAATGCTACACTGTCAGTCATGGATTGGCCTCCCCAGAGCCCGGACCTCATAATAACTAAGAACAGAACCAAAGGCATCCAACATCCAAAGAAAAGCTTTGAATTAGGGCTGGGCCATATTATACCGTTCACGGTAATACCGGTATAATGTTAGGCAACGATAGGAAAATGAAATATCGCGATAGAATATGAGTAAAACGCGCATGCGCAGTGCCTTTGTTTTCATACGCACATGGCCGATTGTTGAGTGAAACAGATGAACCAGAATTGGTTTGTAAAAATGGTGCAACTTCAGTGATGTGGAACTGGTTTGGTGTTTGTCCGTCAGATACACGACAAAGCACATTTTTTTGCAGAACATGCAAGCGGCCATCGTTATTGTCGTATTTGTCCGACTAAGATGCTCTTAAATCTGGGAGTAATCTGGGTCCTAAACTCCGTATTCTTCAGGTCAAACGAACACTGCAGCATCACTAAGAGTTAAAAACTGTCTAAATTCTTTCATCTTTAATAAAACGATCAGCATTGCTGCTTTACCAGGTGTAACTATGAAGTTTAACTTCCAGGCATCCATGAAAACAAAATGTATTACATTTAACGGAGTTAGAAGCTAGCAGGGAGCTAGCGGAAGTTAGCTCGCTAGTTTCGCTAGTTACCTAAACATGATATTGCATGTTCTGACTGAGAGATTTCTGAAAAAAATCAAACGTACAGCTCTGCTATCACTTCCAACATAAATGAAGACAGGAAACTAAACAGCAGTGACGTTTGTAGGGTTACTGAAGTTGGGCTAGCTGGTATATAATTATGTGCTACGTGATCGCTAGCGACACAGCTATGTTAGCATAACATACACAGTGAAGCTGGAGGACAAACACTAACACTTTTCCACTTATAAAAGTTAACGTTAAGGTTCCTCATGGTTAGAGACAAATGCAATCGCATGGCAGGATGCTGTAAAAGGACCAAACTTCAGTCAGGAGAACAACTGAGATAATCCATCCACAATGCGAGGTTAGTCATTAATATACTGCAACAACATGGGAATAGAGCAGCTGCCAGAGAATTCAACATTAATGAATTAATGGTACAGAAGTGGAGGAAGCAAGAAGAATGAGTTTAATAAAGTTTGATTTATCTGACTGCTTTGTTTCGCTTAATGTGCCTTATAATCCCGTGCGCCTTATGGTCCGAAAAATACGTACTGCACACTGCAGTTTAATGTTGCAAAGCACCTCTTTTTAACTTCAGTGGATATTATACATGGTTATGCTCAGGATATGTCAGCCCATTTCTACTGGAAATGCCTTTTGGTTAAACTTTCAGCAAGGAATTTGCATTTGCACTGTTACATTTTATAAAGCTTTAATGTACATAAAAACCAGCTTCTTGTTTAATTTTTAAGTGAAAATAAATGATAGGTTGTCTTTTTGCGCTAGTAATGTTGTGGAGTTGTATTTTGTCTCGCATCAATTATATCGTCAGTTATATCGTTATCGCAAATTTTCAAATATATATCGTGATAAATATTTTTGGCCATATCGCCCTGCTCTACTTCGAATGTCCTTCAAGAATCCTGGAGAACTATTCCAGAAGACTACTTAAAGAAATGACAAGAACGCTACCTAAGAGAGTTCAGACTGTGTTAAAGGTGGTCACACCAGATATTGACATTCAAGCCCAGCAGAACTGTACAGGTCCATTTTTATATACTGCATCTTCATTTATGTTTGCACACATTTCCCATTTCCTAGAAAAGTATACAGAAATGAGGGGCCGCTAAAGACTTTTCTATTGCCTTTCACCTTTTTAAAGTGGAAAACATTAATCTGCCGTACACTGACACAAATCAGTACATGAGTACAGTACATGAAACACTAATCAATAGATTAAAGGTTGCAACTAATTCATAAACTGCTGCGAGACTGCGCTGAAGATGTTCAATATGAAGGGTTTTTTGTGAATTTCCATCTATATTTACAGCTGTCCAGTTTCATGAAAGTGAAGAGCTACCAGCACAAAGCACCTTCTATTTGCTAAGCATAAACCTGCAACACCACAAAGGTTAGACACGCTGTCCTGACCCATAAGATATCCACCGCTGGCTAGATTAAACCCATTAATTCTCAGCACAGCACTTAAATCTTGCTGTAGCTCATGCCTGCTGGATTTGGCTAAGGAAAGCTTCGGGGATAAATGAGCCATATTGTCCTGCAGCAGCCTTCAAAGTTGACAGCCACATAGCCTGAATGACAAGACTTTTTTTACCCACCCGAAGCCGGAGGAAGATGACAACCGCTTGTGTACACAACCAAAACAACCTAAACGTTAGATAATAGCCAATTAGCCTGGTGGACATTAGCTGGGGCTGCTCATCAACTGAGCCAAATGTTGGTTTAATAACCATTAGCTCGGGCTCCATCGTGTGAGGGGCCTCCGCATTAAGAGGGGACCGTGTCAACAAGCGGGATCAGTCCTGTCTGACTGCCTTTTTGATGCACTGTATATGAACTAGCTGAACTAGCTGGGGGGTTAGCCTGCCAAGCGTCAGCTGTCTAGCTGCCGTTAGCTTAGCTAGCTTGTTGTAACGAAAATGAATTAGGACGAGCTCGGCTACGCTAATAACGTTTCAGCATTTAATTGGAACCGCGGAGCTGGGTTCGTGCATGCCGGGGACCAGCAGGCCCGGGGTTCCGACTTCAAATTGTCGAAGTAAAAAAAAGAGAGAGAGAAGAAGCAGCTAGGCCCGGTCGTTGAGGTTTCGAGCCAAAGGGGGAGGGGGGCAGGCAAGGCCAGGGGTAAGGCCGAGTTAGCACGGGTTAGCTTAGCATGCTAGCTAACAGCCGTGCAAGCCCGTTGCGTTTGCAGAGGGGAGAGCGAAGAAGAAGAAGGGAGAGAGAGGGAGAGAGAGAGACGCTTTTCAGGCACTAACGTTTCTGTCTGCGTCAAATCAAACCGTAAACTGTCCGTTCTTACCCGGGCATCCCGGCGAATGCGTACCGGAGCCGAAACAGCGAAACGGGCGAGCAACAGTGCGTCTGCAAGCTTAGGAAAAATAAGAATAAGCAGCCTACCCATTAGTTCTCTGCCTCTGCTGGTTCTCCTACACTGGGATATTGGAAATGATGGAGAGCTGCACTGCGCATGCGCCAAGCTCAACCAGCCAGCAGATGGGAGAGGTGATGCACGTTTCCTCACATACACGAACTCTGCATGGCCAAAAGGGGAAAAAAGAAAGGGGAAAAGTTAGGGGTAACCTGGATGTGAGGGTTGGGATGGGGCCTCATACTGAGTCACAGCCTGAACCGGCGGGTCCCATTTTGAGGCCTGAGGGGCCTCCAGGGACCCCTGAGGCAGAATTGGCTGCAAAACTATTTGATCCCTTTTTCCACATATTTGACTTTAATCCTGGGAGATATAGAACTGGTTTTATTTTTTATTATTTTATTTTTTATAATTTTTCTTCCTAAAGACTATGGAAACGTTTCACAGTACATTACGAATGTACTGTAGGTCATTGAGGTCATCCTATATACACTCATACACTCATGTATATACTCATCCACCAAAAATAAATACAAAACAAAAAATATACTGATCATTTGCTGCCAATATATTATCATTTTTTATATAATGTAAGTTTCTGTAAAAAAGGTAAAATTCAATAAATTCATTGTGTGGTTAAAAATACAGAAAGACACATAAAAAAAATATACTAAAAGTCACTTCATTATTGTGTCATTTTCCCAATTTTTTTAAGCTTTCTTCTGCCAGTAAAAGAGTGAATATTTTTTGCCATCCAAAAGCCTCGAAATTTCAAGGTGATAACTCAAAATGTTGATTTATGTTATTCAAAAATTTCAGCTAATAACTTAAAATTCCAAGATAACATATCTTAAAAACCTTTGGTTACTTCTGAGTAAGTTGAAATTTTGAAATAATCCGTCAGTAATGTGACATTTTAAAATACCTAATGTGAAATTTGGGGTTCATAATGCAAGTATTCACATTATATATGTCAAAAATTTGGTCTGAATAAATCAAAATCTCAAGATTTTTATTTTAACATTAAGACATAATAAATCAAAATTACAAACTGAAAACTAATCTAACAACTTTACTCAAATCAACGTAAAATTTAGATTTATGTATCTCAAAATTTCACGTCTCGAGTTATGCATCTCAAAATTTCAAGCTTGAAATAACTTGAAATTTCAAGATACCTCTGTGTTTTGAGATACTCACTAACAACTTATGAAAACTTTGTGAAATTCTGAGTTAGGTATCTCGAAATTTGGAGTTACTCAGAAGTAACTCAAAGTTTCAAGATGGTCAGTAATTTAAGAGTTTCAAACTTAAACCAAAGCCTTACAAGGGCAGGAAACAACCTTCCATACTAAACAACTCCCTGCTTTCACTTTCATTCTGTTGGATTTGAGATGCATTGTGGGGGGGGTTTTTTTCATTTTCCAACTGTATTTTGAATAGATTGTTGCTTTTATTTGGAGACTGACAAAAAGACTGTTAATTTCTCTTATTATTATTTATTATTAACAATTTTGCTTCCCTTTTTTAAATCCTTTGGAGTTTGTTTTTGTCTTCCCACATGATTTTCATGGTTTTTGGTCACTATGTTTTGTGCTTCTTTCATTTTTTCCTCACTGCCTCAGTATCTTTCCATACTAATATACTTTTTTACACTATAGATCACTGGAATTAGATAAAGCCTTTAACCTAAAGACCTCATGGAAATCACACACACAAGTATTTCTGCTTGCTGTTCAATAAAAAAAAAAGTACATAAATTTGTTTTATATCATTTCTTGTTATTACAGTTTGGACCACAGACACTGTTCATTTCAATGTTGAATAAAAATGTATTTAAATAAATATGAAGTGGAAAAAGCTTTTAATCACAAGGTTTTGTTTTCCCAAAAATGGAACATTGTACATGTATTCGATTATTATGTATTTGACAGTTGTAACTTGTTACTTTAATGTGCATAGCAAAGTCATAAAATCAAATCAAATTGATGATTATTGAATATTAATTAATAAAACTAGTAATATATGTTGACTACAGTGACACTACATATCATAGTTTCAAAGTTATAAGGCTTTTAGTCCATTTTCCACCAATACATCATTGAGTTGACCTTGAAGACCTTGGTGGATGTAAGCCAAATTTGAATGGATTGTTAACATGACCCCACTCTACACTCATACAAAGTTTTATCAGAATTCATTCACAACTTTTGAAGTTATTGTGTTTACAGACAGGATGGTGGTATGCACACACACAAATCCTACTAAAAACATAACCTTCTTGGTAACAAAATACATCTGATTTTTTTTTTTTTTTTACAAATAAATAATGTTGAATTTACTTGCAGAAAAATGACTTAGAGGCAACTTGTTAGTAATTACGGAAGCGTAGAGCTGCCACCTAGGCAAAAGAAAAATACAAGTGTATCACGTTATAACGTGAAAAGTTTATTGTTCTAACAAGATACTTTTCCTGTTTGTACAATATACCATCATGTTTGTACAATATATGATCACGTTCGTACAATATAATATTTATATTGTACAAACGTGATAATTATGTATATTGTAATAACGTGATATTATGTTGTACAAACATGAAAAGTATCTTGTTAGAACAATAAACCTTTCACGTTATAACGTGATACACTTGTATTTTTCTTTTGCCTGGGTGGCAGCTCTACGCTTCCGTAAGTAATAACACTGTTTTGACTGTGGCATGATTATATTAAGTACTAAAACGAACCTTAACAATTAGTTATATAAATTTCAGATACAGCTTTCACTCTTTCTGTCAGTTTGAACGCATTCACAACACAAACACCCCAACGAGGTTTTCATGGAGATGTTTACTGGGTATCAAGATGTCACGTCAGCTGACTTTGCAAAGCAAAACTGAAACTACTAAAAATTCAACTAAAACTAGACAATTTTAAACAATAATCAATATGTCAACCAAGACAAGACACTTGTTATAACCAAGGAAGGCTGCCATGGCAGTGCAGTCATCAGCACTGTCACCTCACAAGAGGCTCCTAGGTTGGATTCATCCAGTGGACTGGATGCAAACTCCTTTCTTCAAAGTCCAAAAACATGTATGGGGTTAGGTTAGTTGTTTAAGTCTAATTAATTGACTTTAAGCGAGGATTGACAGGCTGCACTTTGTCTTTGACGGAAGATGGGTAGGCTGTGGTCATTTCTGATGAGCTGTAACCTCAGTTTCCTGTTCTTAGCAGTGTCACCTGCTATGATCTTCTGCTGCCGTAGACCATCTGCATCAACATTCAGTATGTTGCCTGTTCAGAGATGCTCTTCTGTATACTTTGATTACATCCGTCCACTTTCTTCCACTAATACAATTCAGGATCAAGCCAGAATTTGGTGTAAACAACATGAAGCATGGCTCCATCCTGCCTTGTATCAACAGTTCAGGCTGGTGTTGGATGTGTAACGGTGTGGGGAATATTTTCTTGGCACTCTTTTGGTCCTTAGTACCACCTGAGCATCACTGAAACTCTACAGCCTACCTGAGCATTGTTACTGAGCATGTCCATCCCTTTATGACCACAGTGTACCATCTTCTGATGGCTGCTTTCAGCATAATAACACACCATGTCACAAAGCTCAGATCATCACAAAGTGGTTTCTTGAACATGACAATGAGTTCACTGAGTTCACTGTACTCAGATGGCCTCCACAGTCACCGGATCTCAGCCCATTTGGGATGTGGTGGAACAGCAGATTCACGTCATGGATGTGCAGCCAACAAATCTGCAGCAACTCTGTGATGCTGTCATGTCAACACGGACCAGAATGTAAGAGGAATGATTCCATCACCTTTTTGAATCTGTGCAAAGAAGAATAAAGACAAGGCAAAAGGATTTTTGTGATTCCTTTCCTCTTTGGAGCTAAAAGAGGCCACCCAAACACCTGAGATATCAGTGGAAAGCCCAGGATGTCCTTTATTTAGTACATCAGGACTCTCAAATCACTCAAAAGATATAAACCAAAAACAAATGTCCATTACAGAGGACATAAATGAATAGGCTGGTTCTCAGGAGGACATGACTGGCTCACATCACAAACAATAGGAATGAACACAGTGATCTTTAAGTTCTCCTGATTTAATCTGCAAAATAGTTTGAGTTCATGCCAAATAATCACTTTGATTAATTCTAAAAGTTAGAAAAAGTGACAGGAAATTAATTTAGTACAACTGTTGTTTTCCTTTTTGGGGGCTAGGGGGAAGGGGTCATTGTTGCAGAAGGTAAGCTAACATAAAGACCTCTTACAGAAGTTTTAACTTTTGTAACGTTATCATTACCATGTCTTACTTTGTCGAAAAATAAAAGGTGGTCTTTACATATTAAGCATAATGTACTAAAATGATCAGAAGCCAGTGGCTACATATTGAAACTCAGAATATGTGGACTCACAGGGTTAGAAAAAAAGTCACCACCTAATTAAAAACAATCCCATTACCAGTTATTTTGCTAATACCTTACAGGTATTTTGTTAAATACTGTCTATGAAGTGTAATTTGATAAGTGTTTAACACCATAAGCTACAAACTGCAATGATAATGATTAATTACAAGAACATCTTTTAGCAGAAACTAAACTATTCATATTTATGAACAAGATGACACTCATTAAGGTTAACTTTGACTGGCTGCGTGCAAAGAAAATCAAAAAATACAACACAAAGTGGCAGTGGAGCAAAAACAGACACTCAGCAAAATAATTTCCTGAGATAAATAAAGGTCATAAAAGCTGAAGAAAACATGAGCTCAGCCGTCTGAAGCAAGGACGAGATGCAGCTCAGGGTGCAAACCCCTGAATTTTGTGTGAAGGTCAAACCCGAGGAGACGTTAAATGAATTCAGTGTAGGGCTGCTGAAGGAAGGAGCGCTTCATGTATTTTTAAGGGCAAACACAGAGGGCTGAATGTGCGAGCGGAGGGTCGTATTTTAGAATAATGTGACAGGCTAAATGTGAGCGGAGAGAGGGAGACGATTTGCGAGATATCTGGCGGTTTGCTGTCTTTTTTTTTCCTTTTCATCAGTCAACCAAAAAGCCGCAGGAAGCGTTTAAGTGTCTCCAGAGATTCAGTGAGTAAAAGATGCTGTTATGAAGGCGGCCTTTTAGACATATACATGAGCCATCCCTCCTAATTTTATCAAACCAGAGCAGAAGTGGCTGTTATAGTTTCACAAATAAATATATATAATAACACATAATTGTAGTCTTTCTCAGTGCCGACAGACTATTTCTTATATATCTTACTATAACACATAAAATCTGTCTGTGTGTTCATTTATTTGTCCACCAACTCCTCCTACATGATCACAAGCAGCACAACCAAACTTGGCACACAAGTATGTCTTAGGCTCCTGAAGGTTCTTATCTATGTCAAATGTTATGACGCCATCATGTTGCCTAGCAACCACCTATAACAACTGGCCAAAATGACTTGTTTTTAGCATTTATGCTGATGAAAATCTCTTAAGAGCATCCTGCTATTTTAATTTCACAAAAATAACATAAAAAGTAATCTAGAAAACTTAAATTGTGAATGATATATATAGTATAATATCATATTGTTTTCATTTCATAGCCAGTAAATGCTGTAGAACGGAAATGCGCAGGATCAAATTCAACAATAAAATGTATATAAAATTCAACAAATAAAATCATATTCATGTAAAATTCGTGAAAAGCATAAAAAGACACATTTTTTTAAACTCTTGCCCTCAAGACAAGGATGCGTCATTTGTTATAATACCAAATTAAAAATATTGTATTTTAAATTGAAATGAAAAATAAAACAATATTTTGTCATTTTAATTTATATATTTTTAAACAAGTTCAAAAATCTGTACACACCTGAATGGGTTATTCAAATATTCACATTCAAATATAACCTCTGTGCAATGTCCTCTTTACTGCTGATACAGTTATTAAACCACAACGTGACTAAAATTGTTGTGGATTTATGTAAATAATATTGATCTATTTGAATAGCTTTGTGCTTACATAGTTTCATCTGTACTTGAGACCATTTCTGATGAGGCTTCAGTGAACAGTAGATGGTTCTGTGTCAGCTCTTTACTGGATTCTTTCATGTTTTTAAGGACATGATTTTCAGATACTGTTCATCTGATGTAGATTGTTTTTGAAGGCTGACAGCTCTTTAGCCCTCCACTTGTCCAGCTTCCTCAGATTTTCTTAGGGCACACCATGTTGTGCTATGCCAAGGTTTCAACTAATAGCTTTTAGGAATCATCTTTGTTAGTACAAAAATACTGTTTAATGTCTGTCAAACTGTGTTATCTTTGACATTTTTCATCGATCCAACTAAAGGCATTAGAACAAATTATGTGTTTTTGTGGTTGCACAACAGTGGTTCAGTCTTTTTTATGCTTGAATGATTCATAGTGGTTTAACAAGCAAAAGATTGGTCAGGGACAAGGACGAAGCCGAAAATAAGTGAAAAGGCAGCCAATGTCCAAAGAAAAACGTTCAAAGACGTTCAGGAAGCCTCAAGAACTATTGCTCAAAACCACTTTAAAAACAATACAACGAAGCCTGTCTGTTTGGTAACAAAATATAAAGAAAGAATTGTTGACTTTTGCACATTACTATATGTCATGTTTTTTTCTTTTAAATCGTTTTTTATTTGGTGGTTTTGTGCGTGTGTGTGAATAATATAATTCTACAACCACAGCGTTTCTCTTCTGCGTTGCTCTGAGTCGCAGCCAATCAGAAAGCAGATATAGTCAAAGCCGGAAGTCGTCATCGCTGGCCGAGGAGTATTCCCGCGAAGATTGAGGCGTCTCTTCGTTACTCCCGGTATGTTTGTTCTGATGTGTGTGTGAAAAGAAGCTCGACTAGCTGACACCTATCTTACACAACGGTAGAAGTAATCAAAGTTAGAAATGGAAAATATTCGTGTTTCTTCAGCGCACTTTTAGCGAGCAGATCTTCGAGTAAAGCCCTGGGTTGCGTCGCAAGCGTGTAGCACCGAAGTTCTGTTGTAAAAATGACAATTTTGAGTTCTCCTGACTTGTCGGTCGATATGATCTCAGCCTCGAACGCAGCCCGAGACGGATTCTCAAACTTATGAGTCGCTTTCTAATTCGGCATACATAAAATCTATTTAGACATTCATTTTTGACCAAATTGTAAGATAAGCAGTCAAAGGCAGCTATGAGATTAGACTGGTATCGTTGCATCAGCTGCATGCCGAATTGAAAAGTGTTTTATCCTCACCTGTTATCGACCCTAACATTGGTTACAGCACAACTGTAAACATGTCCTGAAGTGAGGCTATTTCGTTTCGGTGATTATTAGTCTTACGTTTGGCGTAAACTTAAAAGGGAAAAAAAAAGTTATTTATTGGAATTAAAACCGTTGTTTCCACCATGTTAGTGCATTTAATTGACACCTAACTGCAATGTAAAGTGTCAGTATTATCCCGCTGAAAATGAATTTAGTGGCATGTTGAAGTTGACCTGTTTTCCCACTTGTTCACGTTTTGCAGTCATCATGAGTAAGAGGAAGGCCAGAGATGCTCATCTGCCTATAGGGGAATGCATCACACAGGTGTGTGTATGAACAGCCAGTGAGTTTTTCAGTGTGATACTCTGAAATATACCTAATAAAATGTAGTTTATTTATAATACATGTTTCTGTGCAGGTTCAGCAGATTTTAAGGGAGCGGTTTTGTGAGAGGCTGCTCCCTGACAGACCAGAGGGAGTAGAAGCTCAGTACAAGTAAGTTCATAACAACAGGGCCTGTGGATAGAGGTGATTTTATAATAACGTCAACACATTTACCAAAAAGACTCATATCATAGTATCATGAAAAAGAGTTTACAAGAAAATCAGAATGTTAAATCCAAACAAAGTTGGATATTAAAATAAGAAACAAGACAATCGGTGCGAGAAAAGAAACTGGAGAAATGACTGGCACAGGTTCCTGCCTCATAGCTTCAACTGGATCGGCCTGTTTTAATCCTCGGGGCGTTTCTGGCTCTGTCAAAGCTGCGTGTGTGTGTGCCTGTGTGCGTGTGTGTGCCTGCATGTGTGCGTGTTGTGACTTAAATATGGTTGTCCTTTAAAAACACATTCTTGTTTAAAGTGGAGGTCTGGAAAGAGGCTTACAAATGTAAAAACACACTGACTGGCAAAACACTGCCCACTGTGGTGAAACATAGTGACAGTATGTAGGGTGTAATTACGAAAGGTACCTTTACTAGTGATCAGTAAAAGGTTAAAAGTTCGAGGCCATTACAGCCTTACTGTTCATACTGGAGAGGAGGAATCGGTTGTAATCTGGCCTTGTGAAAATAAAACCATGAATAATTTGTCCTAAGTGTTTGGGAAAAGCAAATAACCTGTAAAGGGTGTTTGTTTTTGTTTTGGCTTCGGTTCCTACAGGCGTTGGATGGTTTAGAAGGCCTGTAGTAGAACTGTCATCCATAATTAAGAGCAGACCTGGAGCTCGGTGTGAGTTTCAGTGGCCCAGTTCAGTCGCACCTGGGTGACAGCTCTGTCCCAGTTTCCAGGCCAACTCGGCCACAACACGAGCTTCCCCAGTGAGAGATTTCCACTCATTACAAGCATGAGATGGGGGTGTATATTTTACTAAGCATTGTGGGTATTGAAGTTAAAGCCATTGTGTTTGCAGACACCTCCTGGAGCTGCTGAGGCGGACGGCGATCCACGGGGAGAGTAACTCTGTGCTAATCGTGGGTCCCAGAGGAGCAGGCAAAACAATGGTGAGCCGTGGGAAAAAATGAATTTTTTTTTTTTTTTTTTTTTAAAGTGTGGACTTGTTGTGAATCCTGTGAGGTTTGTGTTTTTTGTGCCTGAAGCTGCTGCAGTGCGTGCTGAGAGACCTGCAGAAGGAGGAGAAGGTGCAGAAGAACCTTCTTCAGGTTCACCTCAGTGGTACCAAACCTCATTTAAGTTCTTCACAATTTAAGAACCCACACGTTTGCTGGAAATGTGAATTGGATGGATGGGTTTGTGTGTTTGCCGCAGGTCTCCTGCAGACTGATGACAGAACAGCGCTGAAAGAAATAACCAGACAACTCCACCTGGAAAACGTTGTTGGAGACAAAGTGTTTGTGAGTATTTAGAGAGACCGTTATTAACATTTTCAGCTCTGAAAACTGCAAAGATCTTTCTACCTCGTTTTTTTCTTAGGGAAGCTTTGCTGAAAATCTGGCTTTCCTCCTGGAGGCATTAAAAAAAGGTGAGAAAGTTCAAATATTTAAAGCTGATTTCAGACTAGAGGGGCAGGTTTGATGTTTTTTTGTTGTTGGTTTTTTCCTAAAAGGCAATCGCAGCAGTAGCTGCCCAGTGTTGTTTGTCCTGGATGAGTTTGACTTATTCGCCCACCACAAGAACCAGACTCTGCTCTACAACCTGTTTGACGTCTCCCAGTCCGCCCAGGCTCCGATCGCTGTGGTCGGCGTCACCTGCAGACTGGTGGGCCTCAGAACACCTCTCAGAAACCCTACTTAGATAATGGTAGGTGTTTTTAGTAAGTGTCGTGATACTTTTTCCATTCAGGATGTTCTGGAGCTGCTGGAGAAGCGGGTAAAGTCGCGGTTTTCCCACCGTCAGATCCACCTGCTGAGCAGCCTCAACTTCACCCAGTACCTGGAACGGGTTTGGACGCAACTCAGCCTGCTGGACAGTTTTCCTGACAAGAAGTTCGCTCAGGAGTGGAACGCTGGTGTAAAGGTGACGTTAGCAGGCAGACACAAAGTTAGTTTTTTTTTTTAGTCACGTCTTTAAGTCGTCTTCAGGAAGGCTTCTTGAAGGACATTCAAAGCTCTTCTTTGGATGTTTCTGCCTTTTGTTCTGTTCTGTCAACATGATCCTTACCTTCTATCCAGGTACGTCTTTACTGCATTGGCAGTGAGTTTGGGATCATTGTCGTGATTAAAAATTGAAGCTGTTGCCAAATGCAAATACAGCACCAAACCATGATGGAGCCTCCACCGTGTTTTACACATGGCTGTAGACACTCACTGTTGTACGTCTCCCCGTACATACTGACAATGATTTGAAGCAAAAGACTCCAAATGTGGATTCATCACTATCAAGACCCATGTCACTGATTTTCAGTCCAGTTCTTGTGTAATTTTCACACCTCAGCCTTTTCTTACTGTTTCCCTTCATTAGGAATGGCTTCGTCACAGCCACTGAGACCGTTTGTGATTAAACTTCGGTGAACAGTAGATGGATCAGCTAAAGTCCTGTGGATATGGCCTTCATATACTGTTCATCTGCTGTAGATAGTTGTTTTTTGTTTTTTTTTAAGGACTTGCCCTTCTTCTCTTTCCACTTTTGTTATTCACTGGTCCAGTCTCCTGAAATTTTTTAAGAAAACTCTGAATACCATACTGAGATATGCCATGGTTTCAGCTAATGGCTCTTAGTGAAAAAGAAGGCATTGTCCAAAGGAAAACTTGGAAAGACCTTCAGAAAGCCTGAAGAATTGTTGCTCAAGACCACTTTAAAAAATGACAGTCTGATGGCTTGGTGGCAAAATATAATGAAACGATTGTTGGCTTTTGCATGGTACTGCTGTTTTTTGTGCGCTACCTTCTTCGTGCCCTAAAAGCCTTAAATAGCTTACTAAAGTTCAGAAAATGTCTAATTTTGAGTTGTTTGAGTGACCGTAGTAACATCACCGCCCAGCTAACATGGTTCAGACAGCGATGTCATCTCTGGCCTCCTTTTGAACGGCAGACGATGTACACACCTTTTCCACATAGAACAGAAGTGCAGACATACAAAGCAAAAAGTACTGATCTTTGTTTTCTTGGTTCTTCAGACTCTGTGTGAGGACAAATCTGTGGAGGAAGTTCTGCAGAGACACTTCAACTCCAGCAAAGACTTTCGCTCTCTGCACATGCTGCTGGTGAGAAGATCATTTCTCATGTTCGGTTTGGGGAAGTTTTGGGTGTTTCCTTTTCTTTCATTGTTTCTTTTCGTACTAAATATCTTTACAGATGTTGTGCCTGAGTCGCGTCTCTGTCGCCAAACCTACCATCAAACCAGCCGACCTGCTCGAGGCCAGCCGGATGTGTTTTGCTGACGCCACGGCTAACATGCTCCATGGTGAGTACAAATCCTAACAAGGGACGTTTTTTTTTTTTTTTTTTTTTTACCCGTGGTCCGAAGAGTCTAAGTGAGCCGTTTCTCTTTAGGTTTGTCCATCTTGGAGCTGTGCCTGGTCATCGCCATTAAGCACCTCAATGATGTGTATGAAGGAGAGCCATTTAACCTTCAGATGGTCCATAATGGTACGATCGCACGATTAAATTACACAAATAGAAGAAGCTGTCCCGTCTGTTTCTTCACTCGTGCCTGATTGTTTCCAGAGTTTAAGAAGTTCCTGCATAGGAAGTCCAACTCCATGTACAACTTTGAGCAGCCTGTTGTCATGAAGGTTGGTAGAAACGCTTCGAAACTCTTCCCCCAGTCTTTCCTACCAAACCCCCACACCAGGCAGAAAGTGGACATTTCCTGAACACCAATACAATCTGTTTGCTGACTGACCCTTAATCTCTTCGCCTTTAGGCGTTCGAGCACCTGCAGCAGCTGGAGCTGATCCGGCCTGTCGATGGTTCCTCGGCCAAAGTCCAGAGGGAGTACCAGCTCATGAGGCTCACGCTGGACCACAGCCAGATCATGGATGCCCTGCAGAAGTACCCACAGTGCCCCACTGACGTCAAGCAGTGGGCCATGTCGGCATTTGGGTAGAGCTTCAGAACATTTAGAATTCAGAGTCTGTGAAGCTTGTTTTGACTTGGACTGAAGGGCATAAGGTTTGTGCTGCCGCCCACTCTAAATGATCAGAAAATAAAAGGAAATGAATAGTTTGGCATTGGTGCGATTGTTTCACCCTCTAAGCAGTTAGAGGTTTATGCTGAAGATAGACACCCCCCCCCCCAAATCTTAATACAAAAACTCAGCTTCATGTGCTTGTGTCATTTGATCAGTAGTTGGACTTAGCAAGTGTCATCAAGCGTCCAGCTTTCATCATTTTCAGGTCGTGAGCATCAGGCTGCTGAATACTGCTATCTAGTGGTGATTTTGTGCAGTTGACAATAACCTGGATGAAAGTTGCAGTTTTGATTTCTTGGACAAAAATATGTGTAATTGTGCCAAAAGTCTGTTTTTTGTTGTTGTTCTTTTTAAACACGCTGTAGCATCAGTGAGGCATGTGTCCCTCCACAGTTCACAAGAATCGCTGCTCCCACGATGGTTTTACAGTTTATGCACAATGATCAGCTGATTGGTCTGCATGGCCGTGAGCTGAATGAAGATTCACCTTAGTGGCAATAAAAAGAACTCATTTAATTAGGTGTCCTCTTGGCAGATATTTTGTGTTTCTAGGCTTCAAAAGCCTCATTGCTGCTCTTTTAGAATCAAGTTTCAAAGATACATTGTTGCATAAATCCAGCTTTATAAACATGAAGTTTTTTTTTTTACTAATTTTAACTGTTTAAATGGTATGCTATGTATTTGTGGCTACAGTTTTAAAGATTTTATTCAGTGTGCAATGCCATGCTGTACTGTAAATATAAGCCTATAATCCAAATATAAGCCTCATGTTTCCAACAGGGAACCCAGCCCCCCACCCTCAATTTAATTGCCTTTTCTTAAACATGGAGCACTGAGCATTTAAGCAAAGCTTGTAACTGAGTGAAGGGACCTGTGAGTATCAGCCTTAAGAAGAGCCAATCTAATTCTCTGAATGAGAGGAAAGGAGGTGACTGTGCTCCATAGTTCAGAGCCATGACACAGGCACAGCCCATACCTTTATGAACACAGTGTACCCGTCTTCTGATGGCTGATTCCAGCAGGATAGCACACCATGTCACAAAAGCTCAGATCATCTCAAACTGGTTTTATGAACATAATGACTTCACTGTGCTCAAATGGCCTCCACAGTCACCATATCTCAGTCCAATAGAGCAGATTTGAGATGTGGTGGAACAGGAGATTCTCATCTGCAGTAACTGTGATGCTAACAAAGAATTAAGACAAAAGTACTTAATCTAGTACTAACAAGGTGTACTTACACCTAATTGCATTGGTTAGGGTTTACCTCTTAAAATCTGATGTATCAAAATTTATTTTATGACTTTCCTTTATTAAAAAGTCCCTAAATATGAAAACCAAACTGTTTCCAGGAAAACGCCAAGCCTCTAAAAAGAGTTAACTCCAGACTGCAGTGATTCAGAGAGGGGGAAAAAAAGGAAAGAAAACACATTCACAATCTAAAAACACATTTATTTACATCACGTGGATCACTTCAGCTGATAAAAACCATGGCCGGCTAACATTAGCCGAGAGTCGCAGCGCTAATCAGGGATCAGTCCTGCCTCCTCTGCCATAATGTACACAGGGTTCATGAAGTTTGTTTCCTCTGCTGTAACACTTTTTCAAGAGATTTTCCTCTCATCCCTTCTGTGAGGTCAGGATGAGGACATCCTTGAAGCTGGTAAAGACTCATTCCTACTCAGGAAAACCCAGTGGGCTGTTTCTTTTTTTGTTTGTTTGTTTGATGTACTTCACTTTCCAGTTTGAAATTGCAGACCTTAGTTTCTTTCTTGTTTTCACATTTTTTTCTCAGTAACATAAAATGTACAGTCACATGTATCAGGAGCAAAGAAAAAAAGACATTTTCATCACTGAAGAGAGGATTTTTTTTTTTCTTTTTAAAACATGACACACTGAAGTTTCATGTTCAGACTGATCAGTTTCTCCCAGCTTTAAACAACCTGTGAGCATCATTGGCATTGGAGACAGTGTTGGCAGACCCGGGATAAGCGCTGCAACTCGACAGCCTCGAGAAATGTGGGGTCAAAGTAGTGTTTTTGTTTTTTTTTGTTTTGTTATTTTTTTGATTTGTTTTGTGGGGGTTTTTTTGTAGAAATTTCAGGCCTGGTAACCAGACTTCTCTTACTGCCAAGACAGTCTTGTCGGTGGGGGTCAATGGAGTTCAATGTTTCCTCTAAAACTCTTTACCACCAGCAGGAAAAAGGAGGAGACTGGGAAGTTAGAATGAAATAACCTGTAGTGGATGATTGTAGTAGCACGTATGGGAATATTGCAACAGCTCCTAAAGAGCTTGGAGGGCTTTTTAAAATGTAACCATCAGGGGATCCAAGCAGGCTCCCAGAGGAACACCTTTGGCTGAACCATCACAATTCGTTTTCTTTCTGCCTTACAAAGTACTCCAATGAGCCTCCAGCTTAGTGAAGGGAAACTTTTACAGGCCTGGGTGCTGAGTCAAAACACAAGAAAAGTATAAATGAATGTAGAGGAAACACTGAAGTTCAACACGCACTTATAAAGATTCAGCTCAGAGTATATAGTTGATACAGGTATTTATGTCTGTACAGATCCTAGACTGCTTAAAATAGTGGGGGCAACAAGACACAAATGTTTCACTGTTTATATGCACAGCAATGTGAGGTGCTGGGCTGGAGGAAGTCAAGGTAGAAACATGTAAAGCTTCAACATGCGCAGGACCCATCCATACACCTTTAAATATCCAAAAGATCCATCCTTTTAACTCCTCTCAGGTCGCCAAGTCAACTGCTCCTCATCAGGATAAGGCTGAAGTTGAAGATAAATTATACAAATCAGGAGGGTCGAATATGACTGGACTATTTTCCAAAGCTGGTCACCTCAGCTTTTGAGGTGACCAGCTATCTTGCAAACACTGATATCAACACTGCCTCGCTACTCGCTGCACTATCCTCCTGAACGAAAGACACAATCTCCACAACAGTGCCAGAGATCAAAACAGGAAACTCAGAAAGTGTAATTTAATCTGGTAGCTCCTGCACTAGCTGAAAAGGTGACAAAACCCCTGATGCTATTAGCTAAAAAAAACACCAAAGTGTGGACAGTGGATATGACAGCACCTTTAGTGTTCACCAACATTTGCAAGGGCGAGAACATTGGGTACAACAGGCCCTGCAGGCTGTCAGTTGTCGTTGCCATCTAGAAAGCTGTGCAACCTCTTTTGTGAACATTTACCAATCAAGAGGATTCTCATGAGCATTTGTCAGGGGTGGGGTGGGGTGTATCTCTGCTGGCATCTTCATTACAGAGACAACATCCAATCAATTACATTTTCACTGACTTGATTAACTGGTGCTTCCAAAGTTGAATCACTCTAGCAGGATCCATTTCACTACCCATTGCTGAGAAACTGGGTGACTGGGTTCAGTTGGGGGTGCTCACAAGACCACTGACACTGAATAATAATTCTTTAAAGCTTCTTCTAGACAAAAAGTTAATTTAAAAAAAAAATTCTACCTTTTCCCCCTACAATGAAGCTAATTTTCCCAATAAAGGAGATTCAAGAAGAAGCTGCTAGTTTAAAGAAAAATATACATCTACTACATCAAATGTCTCAAATGCTTTCCAAAAATTTCCAGAGGAAAAACTTTACCTCACAAAATTTAAATATTTGAGCTATAGATCCATAGGGCCATGTTCATTCTGGACTATTTTAGAAGCGCCACCTATTAAAATGAGATGTTCCGAATTCTTGCGTATTTAGAAGCTCTTTTGGTGAAGTTTCCTAACTTTTCAGTGCAAGAAGTTAACGCTACAGATCCTCAAAGTTCAGTTCAGCAATGCATCATGTAGATGCTCCTTTGGTGGAGTCAGAACAGGCATGGTTCCTGAGGGGAACCAATGGATGGTAGACGAGATTGTCGTCAATTGCTTTAATTGGGTACTTGATCAGGTGAAGACAAACAGAACCAAATATCTGCTTCGTTTTGGAAGTTTAGGTGCTAAAACAATGGTAGGACCAGAGGTTTTTGAGGACCTTTTTTTCCCCCATCGTCCTTTGGATGGTCGGTTTGGTCCTAATGGACCACAGAGCCGGTACAACCGAGAGGTGTATGAATGGATGTCCAAATACGCTGGGCTTTGCAAGTTTCTACGGGACAGGGCACAATCACACGAAACCAGCCAAACGCAAAGCCCTCTAAAGTTACACAGGGCCGGGCTCAATCCATCGAAGTACACACAATACTGGAATCCAGGAGTCTGAAGAACATTCATTCTCGGTCATTTTGTCCATAGACTGAATAGAAAGAAGCATGAATAAAGTTTATATCTTTTTCTTTTTGAATCAATTAATGAAAGTAGTTCCTGAATTACAACTGAAAACCCACCCCAAACCCTGAAACCCCAACAAAAACCAAAGCTCATGCCAGAACTTTATTCCGAGTTGCACTTGAGCTCCAATCCCCAAAACCTCAGGCCAGTAAATTAAAAAATAAATACAACATATCAATATGCAAGGTCACGGATAAAAAAAATAAAATGCTACAAGTTATTTGTGTGTGTGTGTGTATTGAAATTCACTCCTGCAGCTGATCCTACAGAAGTGTAGGGTAGTTTGCGGCACTGGTTGCATATAACTCGCTAGAACTTAGAAAAGCATAGTACTGAATCCCTGAATGGTATTTGTCGGTTTGGGTCGGTTTCTCTGAGCGCAGTTTAAACTCAAGCCGGAAGTCTTTCCCCTACAGTGCTTAGGATGTGACTGCCAACCAAACAGCAGCGAGTTTCTTTGCTCGTGGCTGATAAGATTTGTCAACCACTTTGGCAGGTAACCAACCAGTTTGGAGGCAGTTTTTGGATATCCACTTGGCTGCTGGAACACTGGTGAGTAGGTTTTGCATTTGAGGACACAAACATGGGAACTAAAAAGAATAATACTGGTGTTTTTCCCTTATGTTGGTGTCATTCAAGGATCCTTTTCGTTCTGCAGTTCAATCTCCCTTTGTGGGACAAGAAAACACATTGTGGTGGAAATGAGGAAGCTTCTTTGTAGCCTTATTCTGTTTCTGTCTGTCAGACCTTCAGGGAACAAATTAAGTTTACCCCTAAACTGAAACCTTTCACCTAAATCAAGAACATTTAGAATTATTTTTTTTTAGCAACCTGGTTATGATTTTAATTTATTTGCCATAGTTTCTATACTGAAGAAATCCCTGCAAGTGAGGTAGTACTTACTGAAGGGCTGCTGGGGTTTGCAGTACTGATCGTCCCCGACTGTTCAAGCTTTGCGAGGACCTCTGACAACGGGTGCTTTTGAACAGCAGTGGAGCAGCATAAGGAAGCGACACTGATGCAAAAAATTGTACTCATGCTACAATATGTAAATAAGATGATGGCTTCAACTTCCTTCAGGTTTGCGGTGTTGTTGCAATATGGTGTGCGGAAATAACCTCAAACTTATGCTGCCAAATTTGCTTAAAGAACTTTTACAGTTCAACTATGAAGATCCTTTTTTTGGAATCTTCTAGATTTAGGTGGGATAACTAAACAATTTGGCCCTGATTGGTACAAATGTTGGCACACATCTCCATTCTCCAAACATTTAGCTTCATTACAGACTTTTTTGTGCAAAATGAAAGGTTTTGCTCAACTGATCACTAATCAATTTAATGTCTTAGTGTTTTACTTGTATACTTACTGGCTCTTGCTCACCAAAACGTCATAATACAGTGCTGTAAAGAAAGCCTCACTGTCTTGAATGTGAATGGTTTGGATAGAAAGAAGTTTCTTCATGCCCCTCCCCAAGTATTTTCTAACTGCACACAGAGCTTTATTTTAAACTGTGATATGTGAAACCGTCCCAAAGCTTGAGGAGAGACTGCAGGTCTGCCGGCACCAGTGTTCAATATCCCTCAGAGGAAATAAAGACTCAAAAACGTCATTTGTCGCCTTCGCAACAACGACAGATACATCCGTTTTGCCTGACATCTACAAGATTAACTAATATCGACATGTAGAAATGGCACCAGGATGAAAGACAGAAAGGAGAGATCCCCTCGTCTCCACTCATTTAACCATGGTTAGCTGTGTGAGTGTGCCGGTTGGGTCGGCAAGGGTTTCAAACTGTCAAGCTAAGTGGTTTTAGGGGTTTCTAAGAACTTTTACTTTGAAGGGGAACATTATTGGTTTCTAGTACGTCTCAGAGGTTAAATAATGAGTGTTTGCAGATAAGTCGGCGTCTTCTCTGCAAGCTATAGGTAACCAAAGAAATCACAAGGAGGGTTTTGGTTGTCATGGGTTCACCAACTGGTTTCTAGGCCTGTGTTACCAAGGCCCTAGGGAAATAACCCTCAAATTCCAACGGCAGTGGGCCAAGCTTAAGAGAAAGCATCAAAACAAATTAATTAAGTCTAAACTGGAACAGTGCAGAATGAAGGTGGTTAAAACATAGACCAGATTTTTGGTTCTACAGATACATTAGGTCAGGTTGACTGTGTTGGTTGGGCAGGTTGATATTTTTTCCTGTTTTTAGTAATATCTCTCTTCATTTTTGTGGGAATTAATTCAGTGGTCTGCATCCTTGATAATTCAACTTTCCTTTTTTTGTAATGAGATCAGTATGACTAATGAATGCTGTGGGGATCTGGCATTAAATGACTGGTGGAACTTTGTCAGAAAAAGTGGATAGTCCTAATATAATAATATAATATCTCTATCATGTGACGGTTTCTTTCAGAAGATGAGATGAATAAGGATTATTTTGAACTGTGATTCATGCTTGGCTACTTAAAAAGAATGGGGAGCAGATTATGTCCACCTTTTAGTTATCGACCAACCTTACCTAATACAGTTTTCTTCAAACCGACTAAAGACACTGAACTATTACCGCACGGCTAAACCCTAACAAGTGGAGACGAGGCAAGAAAGAGACATAGGAGGCGCAAGATTCGGCGAAAGAGGAGGTACTCCAGTTCGAGACAGATGAGGATGTGAGGGCGTGGTGTTGAGTAGCAAAGATTCCTGAGGTGTATCCAAAGAGAGCAGAAACTCTTAATTAAAAAAAATAAAATAAAATAAAAATAAAAAGATGCGTGCAATCAAATCAAAAGCAAGCTGGCTCAGCTAAATACAGGCACAGTTCCAAAGTAGGGCTGGGTACCTCTGGAAACTGTACTTCAAATTTGATACCTCCTAAAAATAATCATGCCAGGTGACCTCGTTTTTTTTTGTTTTTTTTTTGTTAATCTGATTTTTCTAAATAGAATCAAACAACACATAATTTATTTCACAATGAATGAACAAGAATATGACCCGAGAGTTTGATATCTCTGATTAAATATCCAAAAAAAGAAAAAAGAAAAGAAAAAAGAAAAAGAGAAGGTATCATTACAGCTGGCACCCAGCGCTAATCCAGAGAGAGATCTCATGACTCCAATTCAAGCTAGTCAGCAATGGGTATTTACTCTCTGCTGACGGCTGACACGGCAAACAAAAAAAAAAGAAGAAGAAGAAAACTTTAAACGACAACTTCATTATCATGGGTGTGGGCAGGGTGTGGGCAGGGTGTGGGTGGTGGTGGTGGTGGTGGTGGTGGGGGGGGGGGGGGGGGGGTTCATGAGTTTATCCCGCTCTCATGAACATCTGATAGAAGCAAAAAAAACAAAACAAAAAAAAAACAACAGGAGAAAGTTGAAGTAGACACTGAGAGAAAGGAAGGGGACGAAGAAGGGAAAAAGTTGTGTTGTTTTTTTTTACGGTTTGTATGGCCGTGTGTGTCTGTGTGTGTCTAGGCTTTGTTGATTGACGAAGGGCCAAAAGGTTGTAAAGGAAGTGCGAGCGATGACCATGACCAGGGAGAGAGGGACTGATTTTTTTTTAAAACTGTCCATCTGAACTGAGGTATACCTGGTTGAAGGAGGTTTATGGTTTTTATCGTCGTAATGCTTGAAAATGGACCCCCCTCCCCATTCCCCCCCCCATTTAAAATAAGCTTGATTACCAAGTTGTCTGGGTCCATAATACACTATGTACAGCAGCATTACACTATAAACATTCAGAAGCCGTTGCTTATTGGCAGAACGATAGTCTCCCAAAAAAAACCAAAAGAAAAAGAAAAAAAACACACGAGAAAACAGCAAATGTATCAAGAGCCGGACGCTCGTCTTTTCTTTTTTTTTCTTCTTTTGTTGTTTTTTAACACTAAAATGCACCGAGAGTTTTGTGAAATTTCTCCGAAGAATCTTCTCAGAGCAGAACACGTCGCCCTCCTACATCTGTGTGTGTGTCTGTGTGCGTGCGTGCGTTTGCATGTATATGTGTATATAAAAACAATACATGATCAAAGTGTCCGTAGAGTGTTGTCCCAGCATGTCAGTGCTGTGGCTTGGTAAAACATCCTGAGTGAGTCCGCTCAGGATGGCAGAGAGTTCAACGTTAAAATCCTCAAGCACGCCTATCAAAATGAGGTGGATGTCAACTGATGTGGTGAGGCGGGCGCAAGGGGCGTTTCCTGAATGCGAGCAGCGGCCCGCACTTAAAAGAACAGGAAGGAAAAAAAAAATCAAAGGAGAAGAAGAAGAAGAAAACCCCCCCCACAAAGCCAACCAACCAGGGTTGGCCATTTATCCCCTCGTGTTGATCTGTGTTTTCGCTAGAGCTCGTCTGGCGTCGGCTGATTGGCTGATCATAAGCTGGACTCCTTGGGTGGGAGGTCCACGTTTGTCACCATGGTGACAACCGTGACGATCTCCTCGGGGCCGATGACGGGCGCCTGGCGCTGCATCTGTCCGATGCGCTCTTCGACGCAGCCGGCGGACAGGCGTGCCTCGGCCTCGTGGTCCCAGCAGTCCTCGATGGTTTCGCAAAGCATGGCCAGACCCTGTGGAACAAAGTTCAGACGAACGTTATCCAAACAGCACCACGATATCTCAGCTGGTTGTGGTTTCTGGAGTTTGAGAATGGACACACTGGAAGCGCTCTGCAGTGGCACAAAGTGGGCGGGACCTATTTATAAACTTTCAGGCAAGTGACTGAAGAGACTGTCCAATGAAAGTTCATAATACTTTGTGTTGTTCTTACTCACTGTCATTTTGTCCTGTGTTATATGTTGTTTGATTATTTCAGGTGTACATCAGCTGTTCTTTTTAAATGTGCTATAGAGGGAACCATTTTAAATCATGCTGCATAAATCAAAGAGCTATGGGACAGTTTCAACAAACACTCCTCTAATTTCTCACCGTGTGTTTCTGCCAGCAGTCTCGCAGGCAGGGCCGCAGTTTCTTATGCACCACCACCTCCTGCATGTCCTCCAGAGATGGGTGCTGACCCACCTCCTCCTCAAAGGGGAGCATGTACTCATCTACTGGTCCTGGAAACATGTGCACGTGTCCAAAGTTAAAATTCGGACGGAATAAAAATAAGACAGTGTGGATAAAACCTGACTGGAGTGCTTGTGGATTTACCGTCGGCAGCGGTGCACCGTGATGCCAGCTCCCACAGGACGAGGCCAAAGGCGTACATATCGATGCGCAAAAATGAATCACGCTGGAAGTTGATTGCGCCCTCCAGGACTTCGGGAGCCATGTAACGTCGTGTTCCCACCTACAGGTTCCAAGCAGGAGTCCAAAGATCAGCACTGAGATAAATAGCTACATGACCACCAATTAAAGCAGACCCAGCAAAAACACTGCCAAATAAATGTGTTTTCACTGCTTTACTGTGATTGTCCAACTTTCAAAAATTGAAAACCTCATCATTCAAATGAATCCCTCCAGGGCTGCTTCAAAAATTTCTGGCCTATGCTGCCACCCAAAGGAGTCTACAACTACTGTCTCAAAGCACGAATAATAAGTTTCTCTCTAAAATGGATGTTGGTGATTACAGCGAAATGAAGAAATAGCTTAAAAAAAAAGAGAAAAAGATCAGGCCTCAGGTCTAAATACTCAGTTTCAGTTTTCCGTTATTTTTGTCCCCGTCCCCCCCCCCATTTTCCCCTTAAGACAGGGTCCAGTATGAGATAAAGAAGGGTTATTTTGAACTATAAATCACGCTAAGCTAAGATAAACTACTGACTATTGCAGTTTCAGGAGGAATTGAAGTTGTACTGAATTGAAAATTCTAGAACATAATTTAACATCAACGAAAAGACGTAATTATACATTAACAGGAAGATTCTGGAAAGTCACTGACTATTAATAGAAAGCTTCTAAAATATATTGGAAAGATTATAGAATTTCACTGTACATTAACAAAGAGAATTTCATTGTACACAAAGGGAAATATTTTAGAATTTAACTGCATTGATGGAAATGTTCTAGAATGTCACTGTACACTGACGGAAAGAATCTGACTGTACTTTGATGGGAGGATCTAAAATGTCATACATTAATGGACGTATGTCCTTTTACAATAAGGGAAAGATTCTAGACTGTAATTATTGATACTGTATAGATGATTTTTTTGTGTTATTCAACTTGTCATTTAAGATTGTTGTGCTGTGCAGTGCAAAACATTTGGAAGACTAAAATATTATAATAATGATAAACCAAATTTTCAGACAACATAAACTGACATTGGTTGCTTAACATCATTGTACAAATAAGCTGGAAACAGATGTAACTGGGTACTGCCTGTAAACATGCCTTCAAACACAGTGAAATGGTGGATGAGAGACAACTATATGAAGTTTTAAGTGTGAGCTATACCTGTCCGTGTGTGTCTCCTGCTGATTTTCCTGCCTCAAACTTCAGAGCGAGGCCAAAGTCAGCTATGCAGGCTGTCAGGTTATTCTTCAACAACACATTCTTACTTTTAATGTCCCTGAAAGAACACACGACACAGGAAATATCCCTTTAGCCCAGTCAAACTAATACAGGAGTCTTGATAATCCACAGATGTTTATGTTTATGGCAGTGTACCTGTGAGCGATGGAGGGCTTGTGCCCGTCCTTGTGTCCTGGGATATCTTCGTGGAGGTAGGCGAGACCGCGGGCTGCTGACTGAGCGATGTGGCAGAGCTCGTTCCAGGACACCACGTTGGCCTTCAGGTAGTCTGTCAATGAGCCCTAGTGAATGAGACAGACAGAGAAGATGGGTGTCAGCGGGAAGAAAAAACAGAAACACTAACTTTACATTCAAAAATGGGCATGTAGGAAAAGGGGCCCCAAAACGTGCCCTTTGCCTGTCGCCCAGTCCACACTGCACGTGTCCCTAATTTCTGTTGTTGTTGATAAGCTGTACCTGTCCAGACCCCATGAATCCAGGCCTGGCTGCCAGACGTCCCCGTTTCTGTTCTAGCTTAATGCCAGTTTCAGGTGAGGTTTATCCAGTGCCAAATATTCTGTTTCAATGGAGTTTCTCAAAGCAAGACCCCTCCCCTGAGATGACCCTACCAGGAGTTACTTGGCATCTTCAAGTCTGAGGCAAAACTCCCCTTTGGGTTGGGGGAGAGACGGTGCTCCAAGAGAGCGAATGCACAAGATCTTATTCACGTGTGATGGAAGGGCCGGAGGACGATGGAGGACAAAGCAGATCACTAACTTGTGTTTAACTGTTACAGAAGTTTTAATGTTTATCAGCTGAAATCTAGAAATGTGTGATGTTATAAATATATTCAAGAGTCAGAGTGATGGAATGAAAAGATTAATTAATAGTACATTAAAAGCTGAGCTGCATCAGAGCATGCAGTATTCTCAGTGTGGTAATGGAAATATCTCTAATGGATGGAAATTCACCAAAGCTTTTCTATTTTTTTTAGTTTGCAGCTGACTCCACAAGATAAAACAATTATACTGGATGTACAAGTTTCAATATTGACATTTTTTTAGATGATTATCGAAGAAGAAAGAACTTCTGGAGCTCAATAAATCCCCTAGAGTGCAATAAATGACATTTACGACCTACAAGGCGTCCTCTTAAAACCACAGCGGATGCTTATTGTCCTCTCTGAATAACGGAGCTCTGATAACGCTGATTCAATGACCTCCTCCATGTGATCACTTATCCTTTGTCTACTCATGAAGAGCAGCATGTGCCTTACTCTTAAGTATTAGAGCGAAAAAGTAGAAATGCTACTGTAGATCTGGAGATTTGAGCATTACAAGGGAAAATTCATGCTTACATCTAATTTACTAATTTGTCTTCTGTCCTGTTAATGCTCATATTTTATATTTACTCATATTTCTGTGCTGTTGCTGTTTCCCTCACACCTTTATTGACCATTTTTTATCATAATGAGAGTTAATAATGTAGAATAAAAAGTATAAAATATATTTGTTAATCTGTACTCCTGTTAGTGTTTTTCTTTAAATGTCATCTACAATGCACAATGACAATAAAGGTCTTGAATTTTGAATGTCAACACAACACAAGGTCACCAGTGGAGGCCAAAGGCAAATGTAGTTTTGTTGAGTGACCACTAGAGGGCATGCAACTCCAACACATCATCAGCTGAGCTTCAGATGAAAGCTTTCCACTGTGTGTGTGTGTGTGTGTGCATATTCTGCGTGACAGCTTTTAATATCCTTGCAGTGGAAATATATGAAAAGATATAAATTACAGGGTTTTTTTTTTCTTCGGCAAGCTGCTGCATGTGCACGGCTCCACACCATAAAGCTGCTCAGATGCATCAAACATAAATCAGCTGCGACAGACGCCAACACTTCGACACCTGCTCTTTTTAGGTCAAAGCTTAAAGACTTATGCTTGCAGAATAATTACAGTTTCCTCCTTTAAAGCTCCAGTGTTATTCCCTCTAGGAGAGCTTCACTCCACTCCAGAGCTGAGTGCCTTTCCAAGAGTTGTATTGTGAGTGTTAAAGCCTCACCGCCACACCCACAAGCTTTTAATTTTTCAACCTTTATTCACGCGATGAAGGCTCCTTAGGAACGCTGATTCAAATCCTCGGTCTGGCTGGGAAATTTCGGGCAAGCCAAGTGTACAAGAATCACTCTCCACTAGGTTGGTAATGACTCTCAAAACACAGAGGCACTTAGAGCCCCGAATGCTACAAAGGCTGCAGCATGGAGGGTGAGTGGAGTACAAAAGGGGGCTAACACAGCTCAAACCCACTTTCTAGGCACCAAAAAAAAAAGAAAGGCAACATGAGGCGTATTGTAACTATAGATTAGATCTTAAGGCACCAAACAGAATCAATAAAATGTGAAGGTTTCATGCATGTTTCCCCTCTTTACCAGTGTTTACAACTTTGTTAGATGGTCGCCCTGGAGCTTTTTAGATCTGTGTGCAACTGCCCCCCCCACAAAAACCCCCCAGCAAACAACTCAATAACATACACTAAGCTCAGCAATATGCTGAGCTTACATGGACACAAACAACCCAGTTAGTGGGAGAAATCAGGCGGGAAATCAGAGAATTGTTTTACATGTACACTGTGACTGGAAAACAGATCTGAAGCGCTCCAGTTGGATGTGTTTTAAACAACACTTGCAACGGTTTCTAACCTTTTCTTCAGCTGTGGAAACTTGAGCCCAAGTTTATTGAGTTTTAACTCTTTTACTGAGATGTATACCGGCTTTGATCTCTTGATCTTACAGCTATCTTTTTAAAGGTTTGAGTGGCTGTGCCAGGTTTAAATGCAGGTGTATATCATAAATTTGATATGGATACATATGGATAAATGCTCAGTAAACATGGACTCTTATCAGGACTTGTTGACACAGTTCAAAATGGAACTAAAATAAGGTCGTATAGACATCCAGACCATCAGCTCAACATGTTGCTTGGGTAGCAACAAGAAAAAAGTAGGGATCATACCACAGACTGTATATAAAGGATGGAGACGGCCACAATGACATCAGTAACGAACACTAGTGTTTTAAACCTCTGTGTTTGTTTTTTTAAGACAGAAGTAACTATACTTTATGGAAGCGCATTTCTGCCACTGAAGAAAATTTATTTGGCAACACGTCAAAATTTATAGTTACATAAAAAAAAAATTGTAACTCAAAAATTTGGGTTAGCATCTCAAAAGTTGAACTATATATTTGGGTTATTTATCTCAGAATTACAACTTGACAACTCAAGATTGTGGGTTAGCACATTGAAATTCAACGCAGTAACTAAAAAACTGATCAAAGTTTAGATGCAACTCCAATTTTGAATATCTCAAAAGTTCAACTTAACTCAAAATAAAGGTTCAAAAAATCTTGAAATTATGATTTAACTCAAAAATGTGGGTTCGTTTGCTCCACAAAGCAAAAGCAAAACAATAAAATGTGATAAGAATTTTAACAGTTAAACTAAGATAGAGCCAAAAACAGCACAGAGGGATCAAGAAGCTCTGTAAATAAAATAATTACGACTGACTAATGCAAACTTAAAAAGACTTTTTAAAATATAAATAGATGACTTATAAAAACAGTCACCCTGTTTTTTAAGTTAGGACAACTGGCTATAGAGACAAAAACTGCTTTGTGGTCGCCAACGTGCTTATATCAGCTATAAATTTTGACATTTTAACATGGCGATCTATGGGTACTGACTCACTTATGTAGTCACCCTCTACTGGCCACTAGAGAAACTGCAGTCTTTAAACCCAAAGGCTGCCCCCGTGAGCACGCCTGCTACTTAACATAAGCAACAGCCTGTTTATTTTAATGAACTAAAGCAGTGATTGCACTTAAGATACCCCAGAAAAAGCAAAATTAAACACGTTTTTGTTTTTCTTTTGTTTGTCTTATTCGCTCCTCTTTATCTGATGGTCTTAAATCAAGCTGAACTCATAAAGCAATTTTTAGACCTAAATGACGTATCGATGTAAAAACATCCTGAAACTGGTTTGAAATAGATCCACAGTGTAGTAGACAAAAGCCTGGCATACAAAGCAGACTGAAGGTTCAGCATGAAGCTCAGGTCATCGAGCCTGGAGGTCTGAGACGTCCCCAAAGTGCGAGAGGTTTGATGAAGCAATGAGAAAATATACAACATATAGAGGAATGAATGCATTAGAAATACAGTCCGGTCTCCTATAGTGTACTCTGCTTTAGTGCACTCAGATTGAAAATGACTCAGTAAAGAAAAGAATATGCATCTCTGCAGCCCTCTCGGCGTACCTTGTCGTGGTAGGCGGTGATGAGCCACAGCTCCAGGTCCAGGTTGTTGTTCCTCTTCTCCGCACCGATAAAGTGGAGGATGTTTTCGTGCTTCATGCCGCTCACGCTGTAGATCTCGTACTCGTTCTGCCAAGACAGCTTGTCCTAGACACGAGCACAGAGGGAGAGATGCAGATGTTATTCATGCCGCCGTGCCACCCAATCAACAAAAACACGTACAAGCCAGGTCACGACTAGTGTTAGAAAGTTTGGGAGATGCAGACTGATTTTAGTCTATTCTTTGTTTTACATGCTGCTTTATTATTACTCATTATTAAAACAGCCGAGAAGCTCTAATTCATCTCCTAACAGAGACACTCGGCACCCAAATAATTCCAATAATATTACTCAAATATAAAACACATTTTTGCTTATCAAAAGGTCAGAAATAACAAAAAAGGGGATGAGTTATAAAGTTTCCACTAGAAAAGCTGTCAGACTTGTTGGCTACAAGTTTAATTAGCTGTTTTTCATTTATTCCCCGCTTCCAGCATGAAAATAATGGATACACTAGCCCAATTTAAAAAAAAAAAAAAAAAGCTTATCAGAAGAATTTTCCTGTAACCAAACTAGATTTTACCCAGAAAATTAAACACATACAGCCAGAGTTGGTACAGTTTCTATTCCTTTCTATTTCCTTTTGATTTCATTTTAGTTTCAGTTACTTCCCAGAGTGGATTTGCTTGTTTTAGTTTAGTTTTTATTAGTTAAAGTTCCTCTAACAGCCACTAGAGGCTGGATCTAAAAGATTTCCAGAATTGTTAAAAAAAACGAACAAAAATGGTTTTAGCTGCTTTGGTTAGTTTAGTCCATCAGAAAAACTAGGTGAGGTGACTATTTTAATCACGCACTTTGTTTAAATGACATGAAAAGACATGTCCATAAGTGTCAAATATAAGTCCAGAATCACTCCGGTAAAGAGTAGAATTGGACAGTATTGGAAAACGTGAAAGTGTAATTTCTGGGCTTAAACATACATTCAAAAATTAAATGGATCCTGTTCCTGTTTTGTCGACTATCTACAACAGAAATGTCTTTTCTTTTAAACGGGTGCAAATGACACAATTTATTTCTTACAATTTAAGAGATGTGCTGAAATATTTATTTCATTAACTACAGCAGTATGTCTTTGATGTTCAAAATGTTGGGCACACCTGTTTTAAGACCTTAAATTACTATAAATCCCTTTCTACAGTATTTATTTCACTTCAATCGTATGTATTTATTTCTATTCTGAAAAAAGGTGGCTGCCCCTCCCTCTGGCTCTGTCTATGACTCCTTCCTGTTAAAAAGGAGTTTTTCTTTCCCACTATCGCCAAGTGCTTCATCACAGCGGGTTCGTCTGATTGTTGGTGTTTCATCTCTGTTATTGTAGGTTTTTTACCTTACAATATGAAGGGCCTTATTTTTTTTGACTGTTGTTGTGATTTGGTGCTATATGAATAAAACTGAATTGAATAAACTGTCATATATCAAACATGATAACTTTTTGACATATGAAGGCAGCGGTGACAGGCTACAGTCATTAGTGAAGATATGTGGACAGGCATTTGATAAATGATTAATACTCACAATGTGTGTGTTTTTGAATCACCTCCTTTACTTCTTATAGTTGTTGCTTTTTTTTATTTAGTTTTGCCTTTATTTGATAAGACAGTGAACATTTTTCCTTTAGTACTTTACTTTGTGGGGGTGTAAGAGTTGTCAGGCTAATGTAACAGTTGTAGTAAAAAAACAAAAAGAAGAACCATCAGCACGTGTACCTGGATGGGAAAGATCTTAACAGCCATGTATTCGTTCAGCAGTTGTGCCTTCCACACACAGCCGAAGCGCCCCCTGGCTTTCACCTCGATCAGCTGCAGAGGTTTGTGTCCCAGAATTGGGGACGGGGGTGAGGGTCCGGGATCCTGCAGAGAGATAGAGACGCAGGTGTTATTCTTTATTCTTTTTATTTATTTATTTATTTCTTGTCCAGAGCATTAAAATAGCACCGGGCTTACATTGAAGGTGACCGGGCTGTTTGGCTCACAGTGACAGCGTGCCTGAGGAGCTAAGGCCAGCAGAATTGCCAACGTCTCCACATCTTAAATCTTACAACTTACATTTATAGACTTCTTCCACAAAGTGGTGCCTCGGTGCTTTATCTACTTTTAAATTTCTGTTGTTTCTAATGAGGGAAAGTCCGCTTCAGGAGAGCTGCACATTTAAGTTTAGCCTCCATATGACCGTGTGAACACGGCATACCGAGCAGGGTTCGGATACATTCATTTTAAATTCAATTAACCCCCCCGAGGAGTTGCATTTGCTCAAGTTTACAGAAGCAGGTTTGTAACTGGAGGGTTGCCAGTTTAAATCCGAGAAACAGCAGATGAAATGTGTGCGCTGGCGGTGGTTGGAAAAAACAAAACAAAACCTGGAAGATTAACCGCTGAGCAAGGCACACAAAGAAATTGGGCAAGGGTTTAATTATGGATTTAATAAAAACATTTAAGATCCAAAGGCGGCGGGTCAGACCGCATGCGTGTGCTGTGCGTTCATGCTAATCCCACACAAACAAAAGTGAAAGAGAGTAAAGCCAAGTGTTCCAAATCTAAAGTAGGTTAAACACAGCTGGTGATCGGGATTAAGCTGATCACTTTCACATGTGACTTCACAGAGGAGGACAGAGGGCGAGCAAGGATAGCGAGACCTGGAGAGAGAGAAAGCACGCGAGAGACGGAGGTGGAGGAGGACGAGGGTGGGGAAGAAGGTTAAAAAGAAGCATGCAGTGCAGGAGTCACATTTCCAAAGGATAAAAGGTAGAGGAGAAAGAGTAGCACATGACTGATGGCGTTTTATGAAACCAGATACGCTGCTGTAAAACCTCGACTTTAGCTGCATGCCTCTGCTGTCAGTAAGAAAAGAAGAAGAAGAAAAAAGAAGAAGAAGGAGCTTTTTTTCCCTTCGCGATGTTCATGTTTTCACTTGAACTGAAGGCTTACAAGGTGCCTGATGAGCTGCAGCAAGTTTCAAGACCCCGAGGCCTGCAGGATCCACTCAGACGCGACGATAATATATCAGGAGTGCACTCGTGTCACTCCGAGTGTTTCGCTAAGCTCACGTAAAAGAAAGAAAGGGTTTCTCTTTTGAGTTTCTGCTGGATTTAACAGATTTAAGAGCGCTGCTCTAACCCACGAGGTTACAGAAGGAAAAGAAAAACGTGCATTTCAGGGCACAAATATTACCTCATTTCTGGATTTACCATCCAGGGTTTTTGGCATACGACCTTTCTTAAAGCCAGATCCAAGCCGCACACCAACTGTTAAAAATGAGCCCATGCCAAGGAGCGTTTAACAGCAGGAGCCGTTAAAAAAAAAAAAAAAGCGCAGAGGAAGCGGCTACGGCAAGATTACTGCGGTTACAGGAGCAAACTGTGTATCCTCTAGTAACATTTATGAATTAGATTTTTATCAAGATGAAATTGAACTCTGGCCTTTAGTGCACACAAAACAAAGCGCTACTGTGTGGCTGAAGAAGCCTTAATGTGCATTTCACTAAATCTCATCATTTTATTACGTTTTGGCAAACACAAGACACTGTTTGAGAGGGTGGGGGTAAATCAACAAAGTTTTTAGAAACACAGCAAAATAACCTCAGCTGCCTCTTTTTCTTGGAGAAGTTGACTTTAAAGCAAACAAAAAGTGGCAGATTGTCTGGTCGGCTCAGAAATATTTTGCATACATCAAACTATTTTTTTTAACTACATATAATTAAATCTATGGATGCAGATAAAGAAAGGCTACAAACAAATTAAATTCAATTAAGTTTTGTTCCTTCTGCAGTGCAAGAGGACTTTTATCTAGTGAACACACGCCTACAACGCATCCTTCGTCAGGTCCATACTGAGCTAATCTTGTTTAATTTTGCCTCTGTACACCACCACAGTGGGTTTTAAATCAAACAATCAAGATATGATTCAAGTGCACAGTTCTGGTTTTGATTCATTGCATTTACCTGTTCAGTAAGTACAGCCATTTTTACACACAATTGTATGTGTCTGAAATTATGTTCCGAGCACCTTTATGAAACAAATAAGGTGCTGTCCAGGTTTTCCATCAGGCACATCTATTGCCAGGGACATCGGTTGGCTTTAAACCACATGGCTGTAGGCTAAATCCATTATAGATTTGGCCCAACTTTATGGCTTCCATAGGAATTAAGAGGGGGAGCAGCAGCCAAGCGCTGCTAATCAAATGCACTTCATTAACTGTTTATCAGCAAGTGTGAGCATCTCTATTAAAGCTCAAGTTTTGGTAGATTGCTGGAAGTTACAACAAGTTAACTCCAAGGTGAGACCATGCAATGTTCAGGTAACCATAACCCCCCCCCCAACGATCTGCATCTCAGACTCTACAGGCATCAGTTAGCATGTTAAATATTAATTCATGACAGTACAATTGGAAAAAGACTGAATGAGTGTGGGTTGCTTGGAAGGGTTACAAGAGAAAGCCTATTCTCTCTAAAAGATCACGGCAGCAGGTTTCTAAACCCCCCATCTGAAAAATCACAAGAGTTCTGGAACGATGTCCTTTGGACAGACAAGACCAAAGTGGAGATGTTTGGTCATGATGCACAGCTCCACATCAACACAAATACCTCATACCAGCTGTTAGTACGGTGGTAGAGGTGATTTGGATTTGTTTTGCAGTGAATGAGTCGACCATGAACTCCTCTGTATACCAAAGTATCCTAGAGTCAAATGCGAGGCCGTCTATCTGACAGGGTCATGTAACAGGACAATGATCCCAAGCAAAGCAGCAAATCTACAACAGAATGGCTGAAAAGGAAAAGAATCAAGGTCCTGCAGTGGTCCAGTCTAAGTCCAGACCGCAACATGATTGAAATGCTGTGGTGGGACCTGAAGAGAGCTGTGCATAAGCAAACCTCCACAAACCTCAATTAACTGAAGCAATGCTGTAAAGAAGAGCGGGCTGGAATTCCTCCACAGTGATGTGAGAGGCTGATAAAGTTACACAGAAAATCATTACTTCAAGTTATTTTTGCTAAACGTGGCTCTACTGAATTCAAGACTCTTTATTTTCAATTATGCAAGCAAAATGAAATCATGGGGTGTACTGCATTTATTACAAGAGTGCAGAGTCTGGTGAAACCTTTCACATGACTGTATATGACTGCTGTGTTATTAGCACCTAACAAGAGCTATTATAGTTTATTTCATTCTAATTAATGCTTTTAAATTTAACGTTTGACTTTTCTTTTAATTTAATTTAGTTTCAGGTAGTTTTCAGAGCGGATCTTCTTTAGTTTTTGTTGCTTGAAAATTTTAGTTTTTTACTGTTTCAGTGTTAGTTTCAGACTTTTGTGATTTTAATTTCCCAAGCTCACAAAATTGTTTCAAGTTTTATTCCCTAAAGGTCTAATTTTATTTTTATTTTAGTTAACTTTAGCATTGCATTCACACCTAGTTTTAGTTTACTATAATAACGTTGCACCTCAAACCAAAAATTCCACAGAAACCTCTTAATATCCATCAAACGGATTAAAGTCGAGGTCTGAAAACAGACATTTATGATGGAGACGTGTTGCAGTCATGAGGTCTGTCTCGAGAAGGTGCACGTCAAACGGCCTTTTCTCTAGGACCAAGCTGCTCCCCAGGGATCGTGTTTTCAATTTGCAACATCTAAAAGCGTGTAAGAAAAAAAATAAATGAAATAATTGCTGCTGCTGCTTTTGGTAGATATATAGAGCAGGCTGCCCATTTCTTCTAGGCAGTGTGAGGGGAATGGAGGATTGGAATGGGAACTGGTGTGTTTACTTAAAGCCTTTTCCCTCTAACAGAGAGCTGTGAGGCAGACCTGCTGTCTGCACACTGCTTTCACACCAAATGCCAGCCAAATGACGAGGAAAATTACCCACCACGGTGCAGAGGTTGGATTTCAGAGCGGCCCAAACGCTCTCTAGATGGCAGCTTGAAAACATTTTTAAGAACACATTGTACTGACCAAAATAATCAAAGTATAGTTTCACACAAATGTTTCTATGCATCTGTTTTTGATACTGTTTTTAAATATAGGCATGAACTTTCAATGAGGATCAGATGAACTCAAAACTTCTTTTTTTTTTTTAAACAAATCATTTACTTGCCTGGTCCATGACTGGGGAGCACGTACTGTACTCACAGAAAGCTAGCTTCCAGTTTGGCGGCTGAGCCTTACTGATATTATTAACTAAAGTCGAAGGATTTGGCAGGCTGTTATTTCAGACCTTTGTGCATCAATGAACTTGACAACCTCCTGTCCTTTGGCAGGTGGGATAGGTTAAAGAATAACTGGACAGAAATCTGATTTCTCCCAGTCTGGACTTTTAGATCAACCTGCAGCAGCAGCAGGCAGGATAGATGATTGAAAGTGTGGTGTGATGTGCTTCTATAGCATCACATAAGAACCTTTAATTATATGAGTGAAATAATAGAAAATAAGCAGTGTTTTTCTTTTCGTGTACAACAGAAATTGATGGGGACAACTTGTTGTATATAAATGTTTCTGTTCACTTTCTTTGTAAGTTGGACTGTGTATAATCAGACAGATTCATTACCAACTGTGACGACCTTACTCACAATTATGTACTCTATTCTATGGTTAACTGAACGTCTTTATGTATCTGACGCCTCGGTAACGGGAATTTGTTTATATATGAAACCATTCAATTATTGTTGTTAACTGAATTTAACGTCTTTCCGCATCTGTTTGTGTTGCTTCCCTCTTAGTCAGGTTTCCTTCTTTAACAACTTAACTGCGCTAATGCGTTGACACCGTGCAGCCCCACGCACGGCGCCATCCACGTTAACTCGCTAACAGATATTTGCCGCATTAATGCGGTTATGCTGTTAACGTCATTTTGACAAGAT